TAAAAAGAGTGAAGACAAAGAATAATGGTCTATACCTACAATGTTTACTAGATATTTATGAATATAATTAGCATAATTGTGATTGATGTGAATTATGAGTATACATTTAAAATATAAACTATGATTGGGTAATCAGGTATACAGGCGAGATAAGTCATTAGTCATTAATTGCTGCAAACAAGCATTATATATATCAATTAGGATCGTAGTTCACGTCACTTCAATTATGAAAATTGTCTTCAAATTTTCAATAAAAAACATGTTTTTATCGAATATTTATGGCAACAACAACAACAACACGAACATCTTGTCAATGACAATACTTACCACATCTCGTCACTCTCCAATATTGGTATTAAAACACTCCATAGTTGACAATGTTCATTTCGCATTCCTGAATCTGACTCAAAGCTCGGAAACTTTAAATATTCACCCCCCTGGGCTGTCTGCTTTGGCCAATATATATACATATATTAATATATTTCATTCAATTTTAATCTCAAGTAAAAACAATGTCTCTAGAACAGAACAAATTTGCCCTCTCGTTGTTTGTTATCATACACGGGGTGTCATTGGCGTATCAATCCTTTACAATTGTAATCACGTGACTCCTGATTTAGCGAAGTTCGTCCAATAAGCCATTATTTTTTCCGAATATCGAACCTCTTTCTCAGTAAATTCATTTGCGGGATTTAAGGGTATACCAAACACAAACTAAAAAGAGAAATCATTGTATGACAAGGTATGTGAAATGGAAATGATTCCGGACATTGTAGTTGCACTGAACAACATGCAGGATTACGTCATGAAAGCACTTAATGTATTTGTGCACAAATGAGATTATTAATAACTTGTGTAATGACACCATAGCTAACGAATGAGAATGTTAATGTATATGTGTCAGGCACCGATTGGATAGTAAGCATATAGGTATTCCTATGATGAATGATGGGTTGAGCGAGAAAGCTGATGAAATGATGTATACGTATATCAACAACAATATAGGTATAACAGTTCAAGTTACGTTAGTCAATTCAGCAATTATGCAATTATGTGCAATTAGGTGCAATTATGGTAATGTATTACCTCATCAGGAAACGGTTGTTATCAACCTGGTTGCGCAGAAGTTGCACAAAACACAAATTATCGTGACAATAGTAATGACAAAGTGAAGTGTTTTCAGTGCAGAGAAATTGAAAGGCCACTGGCATGCAGGCATTCAATGCGGCTAACATGTCGGTCTTGTGGGGTGAACACAAACAGAAGACTGTCTTATGAGAATTGCTAGGGATTTGGTAGAAAGTATCAGCCGGTTATAGGGAACCTATTCATCGTGAGCATTTCATCGAGGTAACATTACACCTATAGAACAAGAATTTCATTATCAACATGGCGAGTACAAACTGAGACGATACCAAGCTTTAATTAGGTATTTTTAGGTGATTGGAAGTATCGAAGGAGTCACCAGTGGTAATTAATGCATGTCGCACCCAGATCAAACCTCATACTTGGGATTTCCATTGGAAGAGCGCATTATATTGTGGGAAAATCAATGTTTATCAACACAAATCGCACATGCGCAGCGCGACGACCACCGCCCTTTAATGATAAAGGGGACTTTATAAAGCTGAAGAATATATTGAGTATTGTACTAAATCATTTTTTGATTTCATGGAAGTATTTGTTCCCAATTAATCCCGTTTTGTTAGAATATTAGTAGTGCATAGAAACCCATATTTCATTGTGGACAAAATAAAATCTTGTACGTTTTTAACTGAATTCCCTTCATTTAGCTGCTTGTCTTCTGGTCATCTTGTTAATTACTGATGATATCAATGTCATTTTCGCTGGGCAGCAGCTCAAATTTCACTAATTCAAGTTTATGCATAAATTAACACCCAGACTAGTTGTCTGTACGATTGTTGTAACACTGTTCAACCAAAAACAATGCCCCGACGGCGTTTTGAAGATAAACACATTGTCAATCATTTGTGAAAATTTCAAAACAAAAGGTCAAAGCCTCTAGGAGCCATTTTTTTAAGTTCTGGGATGTGCACTAAAAAGAAGCTGAGATAATTGCTAATTTGCATAAAAATTTACTCATTAAGAAGTTTGCTAGTGCTCATAATTAAAATGGCTGTAACAGTTCCAAATTTAAATGTATTATCGTTTTGTAAAAAGTTAAATATAGTGCATAGTATGGAGATCCCGTCATTACTTTTTTTCACCATGTTTCTTCTTTATTATTTATGTATAGCCTTGCTAAATCTTGCTAAGCATTCAACAGAGAGAATGTTTGCACCTGTTATATTTTAAAATCGTCTTTTGAGTATGTTCCACTATTCAAAATTCTACAAAATTTTAACAGTCTATAGCCAAGACTGCTTGGATGATAAAAAGCTAAAAAAAATTCACTCCCAAGTGCCCACGAACATGCATCTGTACCTTAAATGACATGCACTTAAAACAACATATGTAACTTGCAACACATAGGTTGATTACACTTGATTTGGATACTAGTGTTTCTGACAATATACTGGCAAGACAGTTATAGGGTCATTCATCTCGGACCATGTGGCAGTGATTTAGTACTTAAAGTTGAAAAAACACTTTCAATACAGATTGGAATAAAATATAGTAAACCCAATGATATCAAAATAGAACTGTTCAACGTATGTTAGATAGAAAATGTCCCCACACAGGAGTGCAGTTGGATAATGATAATTGCAAGCTAAGAGGTCGGACATGAATTGTTTCATGTGGAAACAATTTGTTCACATTATTGACAAGTTATTGCTCACAATAAAAGGAACACTGTATCCTGAATCTTTTTCACTTGGAATTGGCACATCGATTAAGATTAATGTAATAAATAAGCCGGGGTCCAGTTTTATAGTAACACCGATGTTTCAATCAATTCGATTCGTCACGTTGACCAAGGAATTCGTATTACTTTCTGAAGATGATGCTTAAAATTATTTAAGGCATCACCCAGCAAATCATGTGACCTGGACCCCCTTCCCACAAGAGTGGTTAAGTAGTGCATGGATGTAATTGGAGGCTATATCAAATTATTCTTTAAGGACTGGATACAGCTTTTGCGGCCCGAGGTCGTGCGGCGGAAGCGCAAGTCGTATGGCCGAGGGCAGCAAACGCCGTATCCAGTCCATAAAGATTTTATCATATACCTTATATGAAATATGATATGATTTTGTTTTAGTACTTTTAGAATGCAGTATTTAACACTGTTGATAGTGAGATTTTATTAGAACGACTTGAACAATGTTTTTGTATTTCAGAGAGGGTATTGGCTTTGTTTAAAGCATATTTAACGAGTAGATACCAGTGTGTTTCAATAAAAGGTCAAATGTTAAAATACTGTTTTCCTCATCGGACGGTGCTAGGGGCCACTTTTGTTTTGAATGTATACAAACCCACTTAGTATTAGTATTATAGAACGTGAAGGTTCATCATATCCTCTCTATAGCAATGATACCCTATTAAACATATCATTTCAATCAACTTAGTAGACGATCATAACTTAGCTCTGTCTAATCTTAAGGATTGTGTCAGTGAATTGAAAGATTGGATGTACAGCAATAAACTAAAACTAAATCCTGAGAAAACAGGTATTCTAATATTTGGTAAGAATTTCCCGAATCAAAAAATGTCTTTGAGCAATTTTTTGCGGGTTCGAGGCCGGATTACTATGATAGTTCATTGTATGGTATAACGAATGTCCAATTATCTAATATGCAAAAGGTACATAATGCAACAGCTAGGAAAAATATGACCATATTACATCTGCTTTGATTTCTCTTCACTGACTTCCAGTAAAATATCGGATTATATATAAAACATTGTTTTCAGTATACAAATCTCTCTAATGTCAATCCCTCAAATATATGTTTCATTCACATGTGTCACTATTGTACACCCCAAGGTCATCTTCAAAATCTTAAAACTTACTTGTTTACGGTTAGTAACGTGTGGTGATAAGACATTTTCTGTATGAGAACCACATTTTGAAATGCCCTAACTAAACATATAAAAATGAAACAATATATTATTTATTTAAGAAAGCATATAATCTTTTATTTGTCAGTTATTACTGTAAACAGCGCAAGTAAATAAATTATTATTATTACTTTAATATTTAAATAGTTATGCCACCTTTTCTGAGTTTTGATATGGTTGCATTACAAAGAATGCTTCTAACTATTCATTAATCCGTCCCTAATAGCATTTTAGTGGATGAGCTCGTGTTTTACAATTCGATTTAACTAGAATCTAAAATATTACACCATTTTCCAAAATGTATGTGCCAGCCTTACCTGAATTTCATCACCATGAATGACTGCCATCCATTCTGGCCATGGATTCTGACTGTCTCTGATATTATACTGGTACGAATACACGTTTACATTTGTCTGTGCATATTTATGAGCAAAATTTACTGTTGGACATATGAGTAGTCGGTCATCAATCACATCACCTAAGTTATCGCGGTTAACAACAGCATCATGGGGCGATTCCCAGTGTGTGTAGTGGTCTTTAATAGCTGCCCTGGAACAAGTATTCAAATCAGAGTTGGTATAATCTACATTGGCTAAATAGTTTTCATATGTCTGTAAGTTGGTGGAGTCTTTTTCATATCCTGGTACAAATCCATACAAAATAAAATACCTTCCTTCATCCTTGACAGCTCACAATAGTACGTCCGCATTTTTCAATTGAACATTGCTAACCGAGTGTTTAGGATCGTACAGTAAATACTTCCCATCAGCGATGGGGGTCCATGGCATTTCGGAAAACTGCCTTTCGCGTGCACTCAATTCATCGGCACTAACATTGCGAAGGCAATCCACAAAGTCACTTTGAGAGAAATTGCACCCGTGAAATGAACCAAGAATTTGAGATTTCGTCTCGGCCCCGCCATGGGTCATCACAGCCCACTCGGCATCAGGTGTACCACTCTGCAATATGGCGCGATTGAATAATGGTTCACTCAATGGTGATAGTAGATGTAGACCTACACTTGCTGCTCCAGTGCTTTCTCCAAAGATAGTGACCCTGTTTGGGTCTCCTCCAAAAGTACCAATGTTAGATTTCATCCATTTTAAGGCAAGAACTTGGTCATACATTCCATAGTTTCCTTTTAAAAAATTGAAAAGATTTCATTTCATTTTGTACACCTCAGCTTTTTATAGTCTAAATTGGAATGCACACCGCGACGTGAACATCTGCCACAGATGCTAATACTTATTACTATTGTTTCATGTTTGAAAGAATAAAGAAAATTCGTCGTTAAATTGTTGGTTATTTGTCATTTAAAACATCATCGTTTCTAATGGGATGAGACCCGAATTTCATTTCATTTTCCTACTAAATGGTAATTGTTTTCAGTGCAACATTGTTAGGTCCATCCATCACCTTTTGAGGCATAAATTAAAGAAATATTTGTATTTATGGCAACCAGATCAACATCTTCACCGAAATCTAATCCATTGATAACAAGTAGACAAAGAACTCTGTCATTGATATTAAATTATAAAAAGACAAATTCGATTTGTGTGACACCCAAAAATAATTGATTTCACCATTTTCTTTTGAATTCTGTGTTGTAACGAATAATGTCCAGTTCTGTAGTTGTTTCAATAACCAGAATCTAATGATATATTATTGTAGAAGTTTAGCATGTATACAGTTACAAATTTGGTGAGTATTGTCCAATTTCCTTATTTTTAAATTGTTGGCATGAAATGTAAATAAATAAATAAATAAATAAATAAATAAATAAATAAATAAATAAATAAATAAATAAATAAATAAATAAATAAATAAATAAATAAATAAATAAATAAATAAATAAATAAATAAATAAATTACTTTTTTGAAAATGCTATTTCATCTTCAATAACAACCTAGACTTGAATTCAGACATTCCGAGTAAAATAAAAAATGATGTGATAACGCTATGTCAATACTTTGTCATCACTGATTGGTTGCCTCCATAATTTCAGTACCGTCCCGTGCGTAAGGCAAGCTCACAACAATCCAGACCAATTAACTAGTCAATTATTCGTAATTTTCTCAACATCTTACGATCATAGACGGTATCGAGTCTAATACAAACTTCATTTCAGTTTGAATTATAAAATACAATAATAAAATAGTATTGCCTGATAATTTGCAACAGTGACGTAATTCATTGTCTGAATTCAAACAATGGTATATTTTGATTTCTAATTTGTTATATTATACTCTTATAACAGTATTCAGTTGATTGCATGTTTTGAAATTAGCCTGTTACATAACAGATAACTGTATATCTACATAATGTACAAAAGTTCTCATTAGTATTCAGTGTTTCGTATGTGTTATGCTTATGTCTGATGTTTCGCCTCACTGTGGAATGTCTAGGTCTGTTCTGTATCAAGACTATACAGCGTGAGCTTTATTTGTAAATAAGTTTATAATATATCTAAAATAGCAATACACATTGATGACATATGTCAGCTCAAAGAACTGGCGAGGCAAACCTACATTTTATTAATATAAAATATAAATATCATATGGCTTTGGGTGGCAATAATTTATCATCACATTTAAAACGAAGGTCAACGTATTTCAATCTGCCTGTGAAAACGTTGGATATATAATAGAATCCCAGTGGCTGTGTTTATGATGTGTTGTGAAATGTGGGAATCGACA